CGCCTTTTTACTCTCTCACAAACATTGTAAACATCCGGGCTAGAGGTCACATGACTTCCGGTAAGAAAACTTGCCTCAACAAAATTAAACAAAGTTCAAGCATACATGAAGCACTCTTCAAAAATACAAAACAATAAATAATGGCACTTTGAGCGGCAGCTACACACACACAGACTCAGTGTGTGTGTGTATATATATATATATATATATATATATATATATATATATATATATATATATATATATATATATATATATATATATATATATATATATATATATTTTATGCTATTTGATCCTATATTATCTTCTACTATACACCTGCATTGTGTACACTGTCTTGTCCCGGCCTGCACCCTGTCCAATGTTGACTAGTAAACACATTCCTAGTATGTTGTAAAACTACATGGCGACTAAACAGATCTTGTATCTTGCTTATTTTCCCTCTTAGGAAAGCGGGCACGGGATGTGAATTTCTTTGACACCGTCCAGGCGTTGGAGGACCGGCGTGCCGTGGTGAAAGAGTCGATGCACGGGGATCAGATGGTGCTGTTCACCAAGGCCCAGGAAACGGAGGACAAGATGCTCACGATGATGGAGCACCAGGATGAAGTGTCGGTGCAGGATGAGCGGCAAACCACTTTTCAGAATGGGTTTCTGGAAGTGCTTTCCCAGCTAGTGAAAGCCAACAGGTCTTCCTCCCTATAGTTGCCACTGTTAACAATGTCTGCTGCTGAGCCTATCCCTACACCTGGGACAGTTTATTTTGTATTGTTTTTATTAATACTGACACACAACTTTGCACTAAGGTGTGTATGCTGCTGAGCCTATCCCTACACCTGGGACAGTTTATTTTATATTAATGTTATTACTGTTATTATATAGTCTTGATACAACTGACACTTTATTTTATATTGATAATGTTAACTTACATGTACAACTTCTATTTTATTTACATTAAAAATGTGAACTTCTATTTACTGTTAAACAGATCCTGTATCTTGCTTATTTCTCCTGACACTTTATCTTTAGTGACCGTAGCATCCTATACATCACATGTAAGTGATTATTCTGATACCATCATGTTTCATCGGTTATAAACTGGCAAAGCTTTATTTGTCATTTATTTATCATCAATGTTGCAACCTTGTGGAGGAATGGCAGGGGCACATACACAAATATGATAATTTATATAATTTTAAATATTATTTGACCTAAAACTAAATGTTTTTATGATTGTCCTCTGAGGAGGACATGGGGATTTGCAAACTTTTAATTCCCCCCCCCCATTTCACACAACACAAAATGGAGTCCACTATGGGCCGAAACTAACATGTAGGTTTCCGTAGTGTTTATGGCAGACGGATGCAGTGGGTCTCAGGAATATATTTAAATAATAACGGTGGGTTTGCTGCTGAGCCTATTTACTGTGCATACAACACACCTGGCACAGTTTATTGTTATTATATTGCCACACTGTACACTATTGTAATGTTGCCTGTCTTGACTGGAAAATAAAAGAGAAACAAAAGCACTGTACAAAAGATCAGCTTTATTGTCAAAATGTTTACAATGTACAGTTTACACGCTGTTCAGATGCCTCATAAGGGCTGTGCGCGTGGCTGGCCCATCAAGCTGGGTCGCCGGTAAGGCAGTCCATTCGTCCCTGTACTCATTACTTTCACAAAGGTTATGTAATATGCAACATGCTGCCACCTGGATTTTGATCTTGTCCATCTTGCAGTCGTTTCTTTTCATCAAGCACCGCCACCTGCCCTTCAGTCTGCCAAAAGCGTTCTCCACCACCACTCGTGCTCGGCTTGTTTTGTTATTGTACGCAAGTTGCTCAGGCTGCATTAACTCAGTTACAAAGCTGTATAACATGAGCACAAACAGCACAACTTCAGTCGACTCCATCTCCATCATGTCTGAGGTCGGAAGGTAAACAACAGACGCCTAATGTACAGCGAGTGGATGGGCGTCGCAGTATACGCGGGAAGTTTTTCTTCTTCTTCTCTTATTTTGCAGCGGATTGCAAACAACTTTAAGGTGCATACCGCCACCTACTGTACTCGCCGTGAAGTGGTTTGTGGCCTGCCAGTAAAGCCAAAGCAGAAGAAGAAGAAGTGACGTCAGCGGCTCATTTGCGTAATCTTCCCTCAGGGAGAAGTACTCCGGTGTGAACGCGATATGTACTAAGGGCCCTGGGGTAAAAAGTGCCGGGGCTCTGAGTGCCGGAACTAAGTACAGGAAAGTACTTGGTGTGAACGCGCCTATTGATGCTGATAAGCTGATTGAGTGATGACTGACTTCTATAATCTGAAATGAGAATGATGGAGGGACGCTAGTGTTAGATCCAATGAGTGTGATAATAAATGTGTAAGCAATGGTGGAAATCTGAGCGTGCCGCTATGCGGATGATCTCGTGCAGGGAAGAGTCGCTACTGAAGAGAGTGGGCTCGAGACTGCGACTCGCTTACCCTGCGAGATTCCCCCCAAAACGAAGCATGTGCAGTGCACGTCTTTAAGAGTCTGGGAAAAACGCGGTCGTCGTAAGGCCGGCGGATGCTACGTTCAGGAAACGGGAGATGATGGTGTGCCGAAGATTATCCGCATGCGAAGTACAGTTGCCCGGTGAGGAAGAGCAACTGTCGTTGGAGATGTTTGCTGTATACCTTGACGTTATGTGGATGCCCACAGTTTGGTTAGAGGAACGTTAATTACAATGAGCTTGATGTGATGCAGAGGAACTCCGGGTGTGTGACTGGGCCTATAGTTCCTCATGATTAGGAACGCTGTGCTCCTAGAGGAGTCTCTTCTTCTTTCTTCTTCTCTCTTCTTTCTTCTTCTCTTTTTCCAGTTGAGCGGTGTTAGGTTATGTAATGTTGTATTTGAACACTAGATGGCGTAAAAGGGCAACGCATGAGGGGACCTCCCTGAGCAGTGGGTGATTTGAACTGGGGAGAGACATCTATTAATATTATTTGCCCGAGTAGCCGGTGCGCGCGTAGTTTCTCCTAATACTTGACTCCCGCTTGAGGCTGAAATAGTACCGCTAACAGATGATGGGAACTTTAAAGCGCGTCGTTAATATCTGCTTTGAAGAGCCAGCCTTGGCCTGCACGCTATTAAGATTACATTATCTCCATGCGTAGAAAGGGGGAACATTGACCATAGTCATCGAGATTTACCCTGAGCAATACCAGTCATGCTAGTAGCCTACACTAAAGCGAATAGAGTTGTAATGAGCAGTAGCGCTGAACAAAGTGACTAGAACGCGACCGCACCTTGGAGCACTAACCAGTACTGAGATCCTGTTTATTGTGTAGAAAACCGCGGTTCAATGCCACGAGATAGTGACAAGTAGTCAAGATAACTGATTAGCTCGGTTGCTATGCAGCATCACCTGTAGAATGCCAGAGAACCTTAATGACGGCGTTGTGATGCCGAACGGCGTAAATTCATACTGAAACACATCACTTAGGAGATGGGGAATAATTATCAGCTGCTTGTGTGACAGTCGGACAGAGAGTGCTTAACGGCGACCGCTGCCGTGTGAGTTAACAGTGGAATAAGCTCCGGTGCATGACGCACTGCAGTGGCGTTAATGCCGCTGAACCACATGATAACCGATGCATAACGGCATTCTAGAAAAAGTATAAGGTTGAAGAAGTAGCCTAGTTCTTAATTGAATCTGGCTTCGTATGATTAAAAACTACCCGACGCAATCCTCTATTGATGTTTGTTTGACAGCGGTATTGGGAGAAAACGGCGACGTAAACGGTTACGTCATGACGCAAACGATGACGCAATATTTCACCTTTTGAAGCTAAATCACCTCTGTAATGTTTACGGATTTATAAGTGGATCAGAAACTGTGAACAGATTTGGACAGTGCTGCCGAAAAGTTGTTGTCACAGATCCAGCTGTTGGTGCGCCGAGAAACGGAATATTTTCTTAGTGGAAAAAATACGATCATTTAAGTCAATAAAATCATTCAATTAATATTGGGAGTCAATTCCTAGTTTATTTAGTATCTGGTCGTGTCATAAACGGGATAATGTGCAGCGACTTGGTCATTTGGGGAAAAGTAACCCTACGAAACGCCATTCATTTCGGGTAAAACTGTTGAAGCTTGTAACTGCGTTACTTACTGAGCATTGTAACGGGTAGTAATTACCCGAACTGCATTAGTAATGCGTTACATTACTTCGTTACGGCAAAGTAATACGTTATTGAAACTCCATACTGTAACACGTTACACCCAACACTGCCTGGACTCACCTTTACCCTGAACCTTGAACTAAAGGTAGCAATGCATATAACGAGCATCTCGTGAATTTGCAAACTGCCTCTTGCTACACCTGACGCCTTGTTTTAGAGGTGAGGCGCAGGAGAAAAGAGGCGAGAGCCTGGGCTGTGCAATAAACCTGCTAGCCGACTATGACGCACTTAGTGTCCAGTACTGACTACTGAGCCGGGAGGAGAAGTAGCTTCTATGGGATGTAGCTTAAGCCCTGCCTACAGGAGGGGCTGTGGTTGAAGCCAGAAATGGGTAAAGCTTCACATGCGATGAGGGCCCGTTCCGCGTGAAGGCCGGAAGCGCCGCATTTGAGCGGCCCCGATGCCAGTGATGCCCTCTCGAGAGACTGAAGGCGTGCGTCAATTGTTTGCATGAAGTAGGCCATTTCCATTAAGCCGGAGGAACTTCCGTGGAGCCCGATTTCCTTGTCCTTTCCTCCCGCGTCCGGGTTTGCGGGGTGGCCGGGAACGCCGCCTGTAGGTTTATCCGCAAGACTGCAGAGCTGATGAAGATATGCCTGGAGCTGGAACAAAGCTCTGCTGCTGCAGTTGGGGAAGGAGGAGCAAGTGGGCTGCTGCGGGATACCGAGCGCAGTTTGAAAAAGTCGATGCCATCTCAGGCCTTGAGTTGGCCCGGATCAAGATCCCTGTTCGTGGTCTGAGTACTCTGAATCGGACATCTTGAGAATCATAATACCATGAATTACGAGGTTAGTTTGCCGATTACCGTCTGTGTCTTGCGTATTGTCACCTGAAATGACAGCTGACAAGAGGGAAGAGCAGATATAAAGGGATTAGCGGGTGCTATGATAGGCTTGTGAGAATGGAGAGAGGAGTGATTGGTTAGCTGGGGAGTGACGCCCCCGATCACTTAATGAGGGAGGAGAGATTAATGAAGTGACGTGTAATATGAATGAAGAGCTTGGTCTTCCTGATTGAACTTGCGCTGAGCTTTCATTCTCTGTAATGTCTCTGTGTGTGTTTCCTGTTTCCTGCAGATGTCCAGCAGCTGGTGGTTAAAGAAGAGGTTCCCCCTGAGCAGCAGGAGTGGAGCTCCAGTCTGGACCAGGAGGACCCAGAGCCCCCCCCACACATTAAAGAGGAGCAGGAGGAACTCTGGAGCAGTCAGGAGGGAGAGCAGCTTCAAGGGCTGGAGGAGGCTGATATCACCAAGTCCACATTCACTCCTGTCCCTGTGAAGAGTGAAGATGATGAAGAGAAACCTCAGTCCTCTCAGCTTCATCAAAGACAAACTGAACACCTGGAAACAGAAGCTGATGGAGAGGACTGTGGAGGACCAGAACCAGCCAGGAACTCAGATCCAGAGAGACATTTACAACCAGAGACTGAGGACAACCCTGGAGACTGTTCTGAAGACACTGAAGACAGTGGAGATTGGAAGGAGACCAGAGAACCAGGTTCAAACTCTCAGAGAAATAAACAAGACTCTGTCAGTGATTCAAGACGTATTGCAAGAGAGAAACCATTCAGCTGCTCAGTCTGTAAGAAATCTTTTACACGGAGAGGAAGTTTAAAGAAACACATGTACATCCATACAGGAGAGAAACCATTCAGCTGCTCAGTCTGTAAGAAGTCTTTTACTCAGAGAGGATATTTAAAGAAACACATGTACATCCATACAGGAGAGAAACCATTCAGCTGCTCAGTCTGTAAGAAGTCTTTTACTCAGAGTGGACATTTAAAGAAACACATGTACATCCATACAGGAAAGAAACCATTCAGCTGCTCAGTCTGTAAGAAGTCTTTTACTCAGAGAGGATATTTAAAGAAACACATGTACATCCATACAGGAGAGAAACCATTCAGCTGCTCAGTCTGTAAGAAGTCTTTTACTCAGAGTGGACATTTAAAGAAACACATGTACATCCATACAGGAAAGAAACCATTCAGCTGCTCCGTCTGTAATAAGTATTTTACTCAGAGAGGATATTTAAAGAATCACATGAGAATTCATACAGGAGAGAAACCATTCAGACAAACTGAACACCTGGAAACAGAAGATGATGGAGAGGACTGTGGAGGACTTGCTAGGAACTCAGATCCAGAGAGACATTTACAACCAGAGATCGAGGACAACGACAAGGATGACATATTCTGTTCATTTTCAGGTTCGTATTAGTATGTTGTCTTTACTGGGACATGTCTCCATGCACTGAAAAAGCTCTTTATAACACGTTGGTGCATAAATGTAAAAATATATTAGCCATAGGTATTTATGATATTAATTAGGAATTTACAAATAAGGGGTTCAAAACGGGGCTTTGAGCGGTGACGTAATGAACACAACAGCTGTTCTCTGTAATGTCTCTGTGTGTGTTTCCTGTTTCCTGCAGACGTCCAGCAGCTGGTGGTGGTTAAAGAAGAGGTTCCCCCTGAGCAGCAGGAGTGGAGCTCCAGTCTGGACCAGGAGGACCCAGAGCCCCCCCCACACATTAAAGAGGAGCAGGAGGAACTCTGGAGCAGTCAGGAGGGAGAGCAGCTTCAAGGGCTGGAGGAGGCTGATATCACCAAGTCCACATTCACTCCTGTCCCTGTGAAGAGTGAAGATGATGAAGAGAAACCTCAGTCCTCTCAGCTTCATCAAAGACAAACTGAACACCTGGAAACAGAAGCTGATGGAGAGGACTATGGAGGACCAGAACCAGCCAGGAACTCAGATCTAGAGAGACATTTACAACCAGAGACTGAGGACAACCCTGGAGACTCTTCTGAACCTGACACTGAAGACAGGGCTGATTGGAAGGAGACCAGAGAACCAGGTTCAAACTTTCAGAGAAATAAACAAGACCCTGTCAGTGATTCAAGACGTAGTGCAGGAGAGAAACCATTCAGCTGCTCAGTCTGTAAGAAATATTTTACACGGGGAGGAAGTTTAAAGGAACACATGAGAATCCATTCAGGTGAGAAACCATTCAGCTGCTCAGTCTGTAACGATTCATTTAGACATAGAGTTAGTTTAAAGAAACACATGATAATCCACACAGGACAGAAACCATTCAGCTGCTCAGTCTGTAATAAACCTTTTGCTGGGAGAGGAGATGTAAATGAACACATGATAATCCACACAGGAGAGAAACCATTTGGCTGCTCAGTCTGTAAGAAATCTTTTACACTGAGAGGAAGTTTAAAGGATCACATGAGAATTCATACAGGAGAGAAACCATTCAGCTGCTCAGTTTGTAATACATCTTTTGCACTGAGAGGAAGTTTAAAGGATCACATGATAATCCACACAGGAGAAAAACCTCACAGCTGTGATCAATGTGGGAAAACATTTTCGCGACGTGGTAACCTCAAAGTCCACCAACACGTTCACGCTGCAGACCTTTAATAATTATCCATGGAGCTAGCTAGCTGATTCCTCTTGCTTGCACTCTGATAGGTGTTGTGATTGAAAACTACTGATTGCTTGAGTTCCTCTTGGGTCTTTTTCTTATGACCATTTCTGTATAAAGTATATTCTTTGTGTTAATTCTTTGTATTATTATATATTACATTTAATAAACTATCAATGTGTCATACCTACTTAACGGGAAGAAACTCAGCTTACTGACGATATGAACCATTTTTACCAAAACAAAACACAAGTCTCACAAGAAACGTCTAAATGAGCCCTGAGCGAAAGAATTCTAACGTACTTAGCACAGAACTCTAGGTATAAATACTTTATTACTTATCAAATCTGCACAAACAAGCCTTGCTAGCAAGCTGAGATTCCACATATTCTAGGGGTATTAGTATCATCACTGAGCGATCAGAACTCGCAACATGGGAAGCAAATACACCACGTAGCTTTATGGAGCAAACGTCTTACCTTTTGCTGTTTCTGATAAAAAGTTCTGTTCAATGGCATTGAAACGATAAAAACGCTGCTGAAGGTTAATCCATAGCTTAACCTCTTAAGCACGAGGGCCCCCCCGATCGGCGCTCGTGAAAGTTTTTTTTCGAGACTGTGTCTCAGCGCTTCTTAACATTTATGAATCTATTAATGTTCCATACCCAATTAACGGGAAGAAACTCCGCTAACTGACAATATGGACCATTTTTAGCTAAAAGAAACACAAGAGTAATACCAAGCCTCTGGATTAGCCCTGAGCGAAAAAATGCGAACTAATGCTAATGCACTTTTGCACAGAACTCACGGTAGAAATCAAATCAAATCAAATTTATTTATAAAGCACATTTAAAAGCGATTTTTGGTCGGGCCAAAGTGCTGTACGTGTAATAAATACTACAATCACATAAAAACACATTACTACAATCACAATAAAAGACAATAAATTACAACAGATATATAAAAAACACAGGGAAAAGTCAGGAGTCGTGCTCCGCTCTGACTAGAAGGCCAGGGAGAAGAAGTGTGTTTTAAGAGTAGATTTAAAAACCCCTAGGGTCTAGGCCGACCTCACGTGGAGGGGCAGAGTGTTCCAGAGCCTCGGGCCAGCTGCTGCGAAGGCTCGGTGCCCTCGGGTTTTGAGCCTGGTCTTGGGCACTACCAGCAGCAGCTGGTCAGCAGACCTTAAGGCTCTTGTTGGGGTGTAGCGCTGGAGGAGTTCAGCTATATAGGCCGGAGCCAGCCCATTTCGTGCTTTAAAAACAAATAAAAGGATTTTAAAATCAATTCGGAACCGAAATGCCCTTATTACTTATCGTAACTGCACAAACAAGATGTCGACTAGCAAGCTGAGATTCCACAGATTCTATACATATAATGTCATCACTGTACGACCAGAATTCGCGGAGCTATCAGCCAGAAAAGAGAAAGAAAACAACATCCGGTTTCAAAACCATAACAATAATTACGTCTTACCTATTGTTGATTTGTGATCAAAAGTTGTGTTCAACGGAATAAAAACACCGCTCAAGGTTAATCCAATGTGTCTGTGTCACGTTGACATTTTTACTGATAATCCATCATCATATTTATGGCAATATACTGGGTATAAAGTTTAGCAGTCCAGGGCTTCAACTTTCAGATATGCTTCGTTTGCATCACTATCACTCCGCAATGGTAATGTTTACGTGGATTTGGGAACTGCCCAACGATTCTATTGGATCTAATGGTTAAAAAAAAGGTGTCAATCATCCAAATCGACCAATGGGTTCCAGAGATATGGTCCTGCGTAAAGTATAAAGTATGAGAGCCAGCGTCAGCATATTTACGCAGCAGACTCTACGCAGTGTTTACTTACGTAAGGAAGCCGGAATTGCAGAACACAGAGCGCACGGAGCGGACAGCAGATAACAGAGCAGATTACAAGATGTTTTTTTTTTTTTTTTTTTTTTTTACAACAGTTGTATTTGGATGGAATGAATACCTATAGTGATAATTCAAAGTAATACAAGGATTTTTACAGTGAAAAAGGTCAAATGGAACTGATGGTTCCCAAATTACCCAGAGGTGATTCCGCCTGGACTTTATTTTTCTAAACCTCTCTAAAAAGGTCAAACTTCACTTGTTTTGCATCAATCTTGATACAGGGTACTTATTATATGTTATAGTTTGGATTCCTAAAGTTTTTAGTCTACTAACCCATAATTCAAGGGTGGTTTTCACTATAAGTAATTGGGTTTTTTTAGGCGGAGATTAGAATTTACATGTTTTTATCAAATCAAATCAAATCAAGTTTTATTTATAAAGCACATTTAAAAGCGATTTTTGGTCGAGCCAAAGTGCTGTACATGTAATAAAAACACATTACTACAATCACAATAAAAGACAATAAATTACAACAGATATATATAAAAAATAAAAATGAAACACAAGGAAAAGTCAGGAGTCGTGCTCCGCTCTAACTAGAAGGCCAGAGAGAAGAAGTGTGTTTTTAGTGTAGATTTAAAAACCCCTAGGGTCTGGGCCGACCTCACATGGAGGGGCAGAGTGTTCCAGAGCCTAGGGCCAGCTGCTGCGAAGGCTCGGTGCCCTCGGGTTTTAAGCCTGGTCTTGGGCACTACCAGCAGCAGCTGGTCAGCATACCTTAACCTGTTACGCACCATCCGCCCGGTACCGTCTAAGGAATCTTAATATTTAATAAAACTATGAATGTTTTATATCCATGTAATGGTAAGAAACTCAGCTAACTGATATTTTTTTTTTAAAAATCCCAAAAAAAAACACAATGCTAGCACTCAGCCTCTGAATTAGCCAAGAGCGAAAAAATGTAACCTAAAATGGCACTTAAACTCACAATAACTCCCTTATTACTTATCCTAGATGCACATCCAACCACTGGTTTTTGGTGTCCTGGAGACACTGAATCTAGTGGTGCCCCCCTCAACACAGCGTACATCATAACATGTGGAGCTAAGTAGCTAGAAACACTATCATGGCTTACCTTGGTCAAAACTGGTCTTCAATGGCATTAAAACGATAAAAAAACGATGCTGCAGTTAATCCATAGGTTAATCCTATGTGTCTGTGTCCTCTTTGAAATGATTTCTGATAATCTATAAGCAATAAAACTGCTTTTTTGTTTCCAAATGCCAGAGCTAGAATGTAGCTCCACTCTGCTTTACATTTACATGTGCGCAGCCCCCACCTTTTCTCTTCACAATGTTTGTGTGTGTGAGCCTCCCCCTTCGATTGGCTCTAACGGTCAGAAAGAGGTGTCAACCATCAAAATCGAGCAAGGGGGGCCAGAGATATGGGGGAAAAAAAACATTTTCATCCAAATCACCTCAGAGGTGGGGTGGTTTTGGCTAAACCTCTCTAAAAAGGTCAAATGTCACTTGTTTTGCATCCATCTTGATACAGGGTACTTATTATATGTTGTACTTTGGATTCCTAAAGCTTTTAGTCTACTAACCCATCATCCAAGGGTAGTTTTCACTATCTGTACAAAATAATTTTTGGACGGACACTATAATTTACAGTTTTTTACTATGTAAAATCTGAATTTTCTTTAAAATAAAAAACATTTATATTGATTCTGACGCTTCTACATCTAACTCACAGATGTAACCTTGTTTTGATAAAAGAAATTATTCATATAACCCTTTTAGAAGTTAAGTTGTAGTCATTTGTTTTGGGCATGTCATTTTCGAGCCTGAAACATGAAAAACAGGCTTGGTGCTTAACAGGTTAAAGCTCTGGCTGGGGTGTAGCGCTGGAGGAGTTCAGCTATATAGGCCGGAGCCAGCCCATTAAGTGCTTTAAAAACAAATAAAAGGATTTTAAAATCAATTCTGAACCGAACTGGAAGCCAGTGTAGTGAGGCCAGAATTGGGGTGATGTGGTCACGCTTTTTGTGGCCAGTCAGCAAACGTGCAGCTGCGTTTTGGACTAGCTGTAAGCGTTTAATAGAGGCCTGGTCCATACCCACATACAGAGCGTTGCAATAGTCCAGTCTTGAGGTAACA